TCGCACTATTATTAAGCCACGCTAACATTTTCGAAATGCTAACGTTATGTGATGTCTTTTCTGCTCTAGTCTATCGCTGCGGCGCATCATGAGATGCGTCATGAGATGCGTCATGAGATGCGTCATGCAGGCCATCGGGAGGACCGGGAGGTTTCCCGATGGCCTGGCCTGCTAAGTGGCCTGCTGGCCTGAGGATTCTTTTTTTTATGTGTGTATTGTGAACGCAACGCTGCGCAAATGTGGGTCTGACTCTGCCTCACAGAGGGTGACTGGCTGTCTACATGATGTGGCCTGCCGACATGGCCACTTTCATACAGATCATATACTAAAGCCCTCGATTGGTCTCTGGGTGTCATTCAAGCTCGGGAGGGTGTGTGTTAGTGTATCTGTGGCGCGAGCGAGCGAGAGAGAAAGCGCACGCATCGGTTATGTGTATTGTTGTTGTTAGCATCTGGTGCTAGCTAGCTGCGCTAACGGATATAAGGAGCTGTTTCAACAACAAGGTGGAGAGGAGTCCTCTGCTGTCAGACTGAGAGCCTGATAACTACAGCTCAGGTGAGGTAAAGGACTTTCTGAGTGTTTAGATAGTTAACTTAGTCCAAGTTATCTCTGTGCGTCTCAAAGGGTTTGGTCACCCTTTATGTAAACACATCTTCCATTTGAGAGGGGAGTGATTAGCAAAATATGCATGAATAATAATAAAAAAACGTTAACTAGGTGAAAAAAGACAAGAGACACTTTTAAAACTTGTTGAGAGCTAAAACTAGTCTTTGCTTCTGCCTCAAAAAGGAGCAGGGGGAGAGGAGGGAGACAGGTGAGGCTGATTCAGGAGCCCAGACACACTCACAACTATAATTGCAACAAATAAATAAACAAGTTTCAATGTTTTTCATATTGGATATGGTATGTTATTGGTTATGGCCATGTTCTTATGATTTTATGATTATTTAAATGTATACAGTTCTGTTTCATATGGATGTAGTCTCTTTATTTCCCCCTCAAAGTGCACCAGATTGATGCATTTAAGTCCAACATTTAAAAACAAATCTTACCGGGGGAGCATGCCCCCGGACCCCCCTATAGGATTTGAGGTCTGCCCCCACTTAAAATATGTTCACATGAATAGGTTCCTAAATGGATTTGCAAAATTTTTTAATAGTAACCCATCTCCATATGTTTATTTTTGGGTAGTAGATTTAGAGGGCTATCACTATGGGCAGCAACGCTGTAAATATTGACAAATGAATCCAGCAAAATGGCACAAAAAAACTGGTAGTGGCCAGGCTGGGTGTATAATTCCCGGCCTGACTTATTGTCCCAGTCCGGCCCTGGCGTCATGAGATGCCGCCGGCAGTAAGAAGTGCCGGTACCACATGGGTAAAAATCAGAAGTGGCGGTGCTGCGTACCGGTGAGTACCGGCCCAATTCAAGCACTGGTTCAGAGAGAATAATCAACATTGTGCATAACAAGATAGAATCATAACACCTCTATCAGCTGAGGCCAGCAGGCAGGAACAGGGAGACAAAACACTGAGAGCACAGCAGCCAAGGTTACAGGTGTGTGCGCTCAGTCAGGACAGAATGAACTGATACACTGGGTCAAAGTTATGGACCTTGGAAACTATTTCCCCAACAGTGACTATGTTACTGAAGAACACAAAGGAGTCCAATGGAGGCCCCAAAAAGCGTAATAGGGCATGATTTTGGCACTTATATTTACTGTATGAAACATACAGTATACAGTATGTGGTGCATATTACAAATGTTTTGTGACCTCATGACAATAATTCTCTGAATGTAAGACTCGATAAAACATTAGATTATCGGCCTCTGTGTTCGTGTTAATTCTAGCTAGCAGATAATGATTTGGTCATGAGACTTTTCAGAGCTTGTCAGCTTATTAAGCGGGACTCTGCAGCTATGATGTAACTTAATAGATTACAACTCACCTACAACACCAGCCACAGTGGGACTTGCTCCAAGAGCTTTCACATGATGGCTGAGCAGCGGGATGATCATGCTCACCCCAAACAAATCCTGAAGAAAACAAGGAAATGAAGGAGAGAGATTAAAGTTATGTCCCCAGGTGTATCCAGCTGTTATCATTTAAACTTTAAATAACATAAGAAACCCTTTTGAACTAAAAAAAACAGAGTTGCAACAAAACAGAGATCAGTGCAGCTCTTGCCAAACTCTTGATTGGAGTCACACAGCAGTTCATACAGCGCTCTAACACTACACTACTCATTACACTAATTGCTTACTGTCCCTAAGAGTTTCTGCGTGCCAAACATCTGGGCACTTTAAATCACATTTAGCCAGATATGCAGGCTGAAAAACAGCTTGGAATCTAGCCATGTTTAGAGTTACACATACTTTCTTGTTCATGATTACGAGTTGGGTTTCTCAATGTTCTTAAATGTAAGGAAGAAAGTCAACTTTGAAGCATATTTTACTGACAGCGATGCTCAGAAGAGACAGCAGGTGTCGGCTTTGTTATTTTATATCTCCCCAATTTAGTGGCTAGGGTTATATATTACAACATACACACCGTGTGTATTTGTATGTACAGATAGTATTAATAGCATTATTGTATTTCTAGTGGCCAGAAAGTATTGATGCATCTATTAAAAATAATTTCAAAAATGTGTGCTAATGATCCTCAATAAAATGATGATACATACAGTATGCATACGTATGTCCCTGCTTTCTACAGTACTCAAAGGTAACACACAACTACACAATGACTACATTTACATCTTTACAACCCAGGCATGCTTTAAAATGTAATTCCCTATTACACCTACGGATGACAGGTGAATGTTTAAGGGGTTTGTGCAAGTATGCTGTTTCGGTTCAAGAGAATTTGAGCTATGCTATGACATCGACTTTTGCTGCTGACATGAAACATTTCTGAGAAAATATGTTCATGTGTTGGCAAACCTTCACACCTTTAAATTCAACAGACTTTTAGCACTTTTAAGAGCTGCTTTGCAAAACCCAAAGTATAACATTTGCATTTTAAATCACATGCAAACACCTTGAGGGTGCCTTGGCCGTTTTTGCATGATCTGAACATGAAGCACATGTATTATCTCTGAATTGGTTTGTTTTATTACATCATACCTTTCGAGTTATGAAACCATGACATGACAGCTCACTCAGTACAGTCTCAGTTAGCTACTCACCATGAAGCCCACCACATAGATGCATTGTATAATCCTCGTCCGTCCTCCTGGTTTCTGATATAAGGTGCTACATTTCTGGTTGTTCATCCTCCCGCAGTGACAACACGGCTGCAGGAAAAGCGGAAACGCTCATCCGCTCCACTGAATACTCTCCAAACACACCGAGCACGGCAGCGTCCCGGTGGAGATATCATGTGCAGGGGTCAGCGCGAGACTTCTCCGTATCAACCGTCTGAAGAAATACGGTAGGTGTAAATATGAGGCGGATTCTAAAGAGATAAGACACGTCCTGTGGCGAATCTGACTATTAGTGAAGAGGCTGATTTATCAGGTCTGAACTGCCGTGTTGTCTGCTCTGACCTATGAGGTGAATCACCCACGGATAATAGGAGAGTTGGTATCGTCCGCTGACGTCACAATCCTCGATCGGGAAGTTGATTCATAAAATATATAGATAAAACATCAACATTATCTTAAACCTTAACAAATCACAGAATAACTTAATTGTAACCGCATTTACAACAATTCAAGATACAAATCTGACTATATTGATATATTACATTGTCTAAAGACTATTTAAGCAATGAAAATGTTTTGTGTCTACATTTTAAGCTACATGACACCAATATGAAAGGTGTTTTTTTGTCGAATTGTAAACTTATTTTTTGGTTTGAAGCTAACAAAAAGAGTAGACAATAAAATAAGAATCAAATACACCAGTAAGACTAAATAGGCCCTACATAACACAGAATACACAGTATATATCCAACAAATGTTAATTTCTAAATGTTTTAGATATTCAAAACAATTCTTGTAAACATTTTTTGCAATGATAAACTGGACTATTTAACACCTTGTATATCTATTTTGGTTTTCACCTGTAACATTTAGAAAGTTACTTTTCCACCATCTGCTGGACAAATTGAGGCATCCAACATGTTAAAAACGGCACAAAAACACACACATAATTTAAGGGGGGTTTACAGTCACTTGAAGGCTGCCATATTCAAATATTCAAAGCCATGGACTATATTTCTGTTTTATAGCAAAGTAAATATTTCCAATCCTTTTAGGTTTTTTTTACTTGGCAATATTGGTCCTGACTACAGAGCAGTGGATGTGGGAGGAGTTTTACTATCTGAGTGTGGCCTGGCTCACATCAGAGTGTAAATGTGTCTTTGTCTGCTATAAATGTAGGATGACTGCCATATGTTCCCCACACATGCTAAAGTGTTTCCTCTCAATTCACACTGGCGGTTACAAACCACAGCAACAGATTTTACAACCTCTTTGTTTAAGGTTCAAACAGGTTCAAAGCTTTTGTTGTCATGATCATGAAGTACCTTTATAAACTGATATGCTAATTAACAGTTTAAATGTATTTTCTGTATATTGTCTAATATTTTTAGAAGATGTTGTTTTGGAAAAATATGTATTATATTTCTATAACCATTTGAACTTTATACTGTTTCATTTGATATTTACTTATGTGTTCTGGTGGTGTGATACAGTAAGGATAGGATGCATTTACAGTCATTTTCATCCCCCTGATTACAGGAAATGACATGTGTCTGTTTACATGAGCTTATAGCAGGGTGTTGTGGGATACTGAAACTCTTCTTCTGTCCTTACAGTCTCTCCCTGCCCTCACATTCCCGTGCAGACGATGGGTGTCCAGTTGCCACCAGTTATTTCTGCGCAGCTGATCCCCTCCCTTCACAATCTCCAACTGCTCCACACACTCAGTGGAGAGGAGTGTGTGGAGGAATCAGATCCCAAATATAGCCCAGGGTGTTGGTTGGGTGGGTGGGCTGACTGCAGACCCCAGCAGGGTCCAAACGGAGTCATGTGCACAACCTTGTCCTCACATAACACAGACAGAGGGACAGGAGAGGATCCATAAACCCAGCTGGAGCACAGTGGATGTACTGGAAGGAATTTGCTTGCTGTAGTTGGAGGGGAAAGTTGCTGGCCTATCTCGGACCATGAAGCTTAACGTGGCGTTGTTTTTTGCGGGGCTCTTCGGGGCGTTGGCAGCTGTGTTCACCCTCCTCTCGTTTGGGACAGATTACTGGCTGATGGCTTCAGAGAGCTGCCACCCAAACCCTGGAGATGTTGGTGGTGTGACAGTCGAGGTTGGTGTTCAGACAGCAGCACATCAGTCATCGTTTGTCATGTCTGGAATAATAGTTATCATGTGTTTTTAGGTTGAAAAACATTCATATTTGTAAGCCAAGGAAATATCCTTAGGTCAGCTGCTCTAACAGGACAGGACAGTACTTATATTATATTCACTGGTGGAGGGGAGTAGTCAGATCTTTCATGAGGTAAAAGTGCCATAATTGTTAAAATACTCCTTTACAGGTGAAAGGCCTATATTCTAATTCTTACTCAAATAAAAGTACAGAAGTAGTACCAGTAACATGTACTTAAAATATCAAAAGTGAAAGTCAGCAGTAGCATTACATGGAAATACACATGTAAAGTACATGATAATTGTCTTTAAGTAAATTACTCAAGTAAATTTCTTACTGTCTATTTTAAAAATCAGTTGCTTCAAACATTCTCTCATTAGATGAGCTGCAGTGTGAAGAAGCATCCCCTCAGGACTTCTTCATGTAATCAGACACGTGTTTAATGTAGTGTGTGGGCAGCTATGCAGTGATTGAGACTTGCTTGTGGCCCTATGATAAAGATACACATACCAGTAGTCCCTGTGGCATGGAACTGTATTAAATATCACCGAGCAGAACATACTTAGCTTTTCATAGTGGGCAGTGAAACAGGAATGGAGATATGATATCACCACAATAACAGTGGTAGCACGTAGTAAGTACAGTAATGCAATGTGAATATATATATATATTTGCAATTTAATCTATATCCTAACTATGGCATAATAAGGTGTGGCAATAAGTGCAGGATTCACCATAATACATATTTAATTTTTGAGCAGACCTTGTAGTTATCTTATCTTATCTGGATTGTCATTATCCGATAGTATTTTCTAGTTTTCTCTCTCAATTATTTTGCTTTTCACCCCTTGATAATTTTCCCTTGAATGATTTGCTCAAATTTTAAGGCATGAAAAGGCTAAAACTATTCACTAATATAGAGGAAAAGGTCATTATTGTATGGTTGTCTTTAAACATTTGAATAATTTTTTGAAAAATAAACAAGTTTATGGTTTTTCTCAAATATTATTTACTACTTTTGACACCTCAGGTTTATCTCACCACCCATTTGAAGGGTTCCTGACCCCAATACTGGGCTTCTACAAGCTATTTAAAGGCAGATTTAAAAATAAAACACACCTGTTTAGATTAACATAATAAAACATGACAGTCCAACTTCATTACAGCTGCTCTCATTGCACTGAGAGGTGATTTATTGAGGACCACACAGGCGATTAAGGAGTTTTTGCTCACGTGCAAAAATAGTGACCACCAGAGATGAGGCCTTGGTTTGCACGCTCGCTCGGCACCAACAAACCTGCCGGATGTTGAAGGCGCTCGCTCAGCTCATTCCTGACCTGACAGCTTCACACCTGCCGCACATGATCAGGGACAGCTCTCAGGAGTACACATCCATCAATACGCTTACTCAAACCTTACTCTGCAGACTTACGAATATGTTAAAGGTCACCTATTATGCTAAATCCACCTTTTCATGTATTTTCTACATCAACATGTGTCCCCTCTGTGTGAAGAGATTCTGAAAGTTTCAGGATAAATATTCTATCTCTTTATGTCCTGCATTTATATAAAAACCTGTCTGAAAATGAGCTGATCAGATTTTGGCCACTTTATGATGTCATAACGATTTTTTGGCTTGTGTAACCATTAGCCAATCACCAACCAAAGTAACCCCCCCCCCCCTTATCACCTGAATCTCCTCCTAGAGCACCATTGTGTTCTTTTTAACCAAATATCTTTCAGAGGGGCGTGGGGAGGGGCTCCTTATTTTCATCTAAAGTAACAGACAGAGAATCAGCACTTTTGAAACAGGGCTGAAACAGAGGGGATTATGGGTAATGCTGCAATGATCTGTTTGGTGTTTGGAGCCAAACACTTCAGAGACATGTTTTGTATATATCTGAGACCTATCATATATTGATGATAAACAGTATAATAGGGGACCTTTAAGTAATAAATCATTCTTCTATCTCTTCAGCAGTAATGGTACAAATCTCAACCTGTCGTACAATGGACAGCTTCCCCCTCCATCTATGTATATACTCGCATTTTAGACTCTGTTACTAACTGTATATCTGTAGACTTGGTATGTCTTAAATGTCCGGTTAGGATGTGTTAGAACGAAATCTAAAATGAAAATTGTAAATAAGCAATCTGTATGTAAAAAACCACCTGTATGTAAATTGTAAATAAGCCATCTGTATATCAAATATGTCTTATATGTCTTAAATGATATGATGAATTGGAAATGGGGGACCCTGATATACAATATACAAGCTGTTAATAAACTTTTCAATCAATCAATCAGCGTGGCGATGTGGTGGTGCAGGAAGGCGCTCCTGACGTCACTCTGTACCATGAAGGGTTTTTCTGGAAGTGTTCGTTTGGAGGCAGCGCTGGAGATGAAGACCTGATGTGGAAGCTCTGGTTCAGTAAGTCACACATGATGTTGCTTCCTTAGTTAATTAATCCTTATAATGTGTTGCCTTTGGTTTAACTTTCTCATCATTTCCACAGTTTTATAGCAAAGACGTTGCACAGTCATTCTTTTCACTCTTTTAAATAGTTTGTTTCGTTTCTTCTGACCGAATACAAATCCAATAGGAAGGAATCTATACAGTTGAAGCAAGGCATTTTTGTTTAGAGAGCAACATTGTGACACATGAAAACTCAAAGCCCTGTAAATACAACTTGTATGAAGTTAACAAAACATTGAATTTGCTTTTAAAAGATAAAAAAAGCAGAAAGGTGGAGCAGTTAACAAATAGAAAGACAGCATTCTTTTCAAAACAAGTTAAATAAGTTATTACAAAGAAGCATTAAACAGTAAAAAAATGTAATCCATGATTTAAATTGTTGTTCTTTTTAAGTATTGAAGAAGTTAGTACATAACACATAAAGCAGATTAGTGTGATTACCATAGATCGTTATTATTGCATCATAAGGAAAACAATTATTATTATAATTCATTGTTTTTAACCATTCATTTCCCAATGACTGGTGCTTTCCCCCGCCTTTCGAAGTCATTGAGTTCAGGAACCCAGTCTCCTCCAGAGTCACATGGCAGCACGATGACTCAGAATACATTTCAGTTTTTCATTTGCTGCTAATCCGTCAATAAAACTCGTATGATGCCTTAATGGTAGAAACGCCCTCATGTGTTTAGGCGCTGTGCCATGTGATGTTATTCTGGTTGTTTGTCAGGTGATAGTGCGTCGTCTATTTCAGATTTTCTTGCTTTGAATGGTGGCTCATTGTCAGAAACGACCTCTGGCACTGAGGGGATTTCACATGGTGGAAGGAAAGAGAGAAGAGAGACGAAAGTGCAGATGAATCGTTACTTTGAGACACTGTTTTCAAACTTGAATCTATGAGAGTAAAAGGATTGCAGTCAGTCTTCACCTTATACTGTTTATATGTTTCATTTTTAAGTGATGTCCTCTATTTGACCTCTGTATATAAAAAAAGGCTAAATATAAGAGGCCCTATTAGGCTTTTGGGGGGTTTTCCCTTTCCTGTAGTGTTATATAAGTTTCTGTGCGTGTCAATGGTCTGCAAAGACTAAAATCCCAACGTTCCCTCCAGAGCGAGCTACTCTCCCACACTCACCCCCTTCCTCCTTTGGGCTCCTTTGATTACTTCTGTCACATAGTGATATCACTACGTAACACTCGAAGTCTATTGGCTAGCGCTCCAACACATTTTACGTGATAGGCTAAGGGGCGGGGCACCTCTAAGCGGTTGACCAGTCACAACAGAGCCGGCCAGCCAACCAATCAGAACAGACTGGGCTCTGGTTTCAGACAGAGGGTGAAAAGAGGTGCTGCAGCACAGGCAGTATGAGAAAAATAAAGAGCTTTTTGAACATTAAAGCATGGAGACATGTCAGAGTAGAGACACTACATACTAATATGAACCTGAATATTAGCCTGAAATGTATTCTTTCTCTCCCCAGCAAACCAGCCTCACTCCAAAGTGTGCACGCACGCCTACCTCTTCCCATTCCCTGTGTCTCAACATTCCCACAATGCAACAGAGTATGACTCGGCCATCAGTAAGTGTCTTTTTAAGTTATGTTAGAGAGTGAGTTTATATTCTTCAGTGATACAATGGCTTTGTTTACAGTCGTGTTTAACATGTCTGTTGTCCAGTCTACAGAGGTTTCTGGAGCATCTTCATGCTGATCGGAGTGGCCGCTGTGTTGCTCGGGGGTCTCTTCATCATCTGTGCGGCTCCGTTCGCCAGCCACCATTTATATAAAGCAGGCGGGAGCCTCTTCCTGGCATCAGGTGAGGTTTCAAATGGTTACATCTATTAGAAAAGCTTTAAGCACACTTTTTAAGGGGGCCTTGACGTTTTCGGAATGTTCTCCCATTGCATGCTACTGGTCAAAGACGTTTGCTTGAATGTCTCTCATGGTTTCAATAAAAAACTGTTCTTGGCCCAAGATTGTAGTCAGTATTTCACACAAAAAGCAGGATGAGAGAATATTTTAAATATTGATAAAACATTTATAGGACTTACCAAACTAAATTGTGTATATAGTACCTTAAACAGCCTCATTGAACCAAGAGTGTTACTAACGTCAGACATAACAAATATTTCAGTCGCATGGGACATGTCTTTCTACAGAACAAGCTATAAGTAGCTTACAATACTTCTGAATATTAAGGACTTTTACCTGTCATGGCTTACTTTCAAATTGTTGTGTTGGTATTTCTGTTTTGGATCATAAAGTGAGTTTTAATCCCCCCCCAGGCCTGTTCCTGCTGTGTGTGGTGGTGATGTACGTGCTGTGGGTGCAGGTGTTGGACGTGGTGGAGCTCTACATCGAGCACCAGCGCTCCACAGTGTGTGCAGACTTCCAGCTCTCCCTCCACTACGGGCTGTCCTTCATGTTCGCTCCCGTCGGCATCTTCTTCTGCTTCCTGGCCGGCCTCCTCTTCCTTCTCATCGGCCGAACCATCCAGATCCACTGCAACTGAATTCCCCCAGCAGCAGGTTGGATGATTGGACTCTTTGTTTTACCACCAGACCTGACATTTTCCCCACTTTGTCTGCTATGTAAATAAAGACTATTTATATGGAAGCTCTGGGTATAAATGATCTGACAGGATAAGCATTTTGCAACCCAAAAAGTGTGCCTTCATCACTCCAGCCTGAGATGTTTTCATTTGAGCTGCATAACATTCAGTTGTATGGTATTCTCAACCAGCCTGATCACATATTACAATACATTTAATATAGCAGATCATATATTACCCAAAGTTAGTTACATCCAGTGCATTCAGACATGAAGATACATCCTCAAACAGAAGGTGGAAAAAAAGTTGTGAGGGTTTTGAGTGGATGCTAATGACATTTATCAGGGAGAATATGAACACACGCCATTATATACAGTATATAATGCTTTGTATAGTGTTTAAATACAGACAATTACATACAAGCGCACAGCTAAAAGTCTTAGGCTTCAACAATGAAAGGTACAATATACTTAACAAAAAAAGTAAAATCATAACATAGTGCATGATATAGATTGACAAAATGGTTCAAGACACTTGCAGGTATACAGAAAAAGATATACAAATAGGATAGATACACAACAGCGGAACAGTGCATAGAAAACTCAGTATACACTTGAAGCCTATTGTATGTAAAAAAAAAACATCTCGTGATTTTTTTCGTATCCATATTAACAGTTTCAAAGTGCTGTACAGATCATAAAGCCCCTGGAGAAATGTGAGCTTTGTGATATTGGGCTTTTGTCAATAAATAGATTAGTAGATTTGAACAACAGCAGGTTCATTGATAGATACGGAGCTCATGGAACAGACATATCACATGTGTGTTTGAAGCATCAGTGTGTTGTTGGTTTTGTTCTTATTTTGACAATGAGAACAATTTTGTAATATCATAACATTATATTTCACTGAGTGTAACATGCTTTATCTGCAACACTATTTAACTATGTACATATCCTGAAACGCTGTTATTTGTTTTGAGTTTCTTGGTCCCAGCACAGTTTATTCTGTTTCTAAATCGAGCTTGAAGCGTGATTGACTTTCTACGTTTATTTAACTATTTCCTGTTTATGTTGTTGAGTTTCTGTCGTCTTGTTTTTTGTGTGACAGCATCATATCTGTCCAAATTAATGTTTTTTTTTCTCCTGTTATCTGTTTGCTAATAAAAAGAAGAGTTAAAGTGAACCTGTGATGCATAAAATTAATCACTTTGTCTTTGTAGCTGTCAAAAAAGGTTGAAGGAATGTGTGCTCCCAAATTCAGGCTTCAGCCAACAATCAAAAGTCTAATTTTAACCAGTCAAAAAAAGAAATAAAATACATTTTAGATGAAAATAATCAATATTTCCAAATCGGCGATGGGTTGCAATCATAGACTGCAATGTTAAATAATGTGACAAACAGTGAACATGTGATCAGACAAACAACAGGGACCAATCAGGGGAACACCTTATGCATATGGAATAAATGAATCCCTTGTTAAATGGGATAATTCCAACAAATATTTAGAAAAACACACAAAATTGAACTAAAACACCACAAGAGGGCACTGCTGTCTCACTTAATTCACACATCAAGCTACACCCGAAGAGGCAGAAACCTATTTTGCTTATCTAGAGTCTATGTGCAGTGTAGGCCAATGTGCACTATGCATTTAATCACAAGTTGAGAGGAAGGATCTGTAGATGAAAGAACTCACACCTCTGCTGACAGACGGAGGGTAATTTCACTCTTGAATGGAGCATTTGATCAGGATCTGAATGGACTCCAGTGTCGCTCCTCATGTGTCTGTATCAACTCTCTGCCTTTCCAGCTTTATAATATGCTTATCATACAGAGAGAAATGCATCTGTGGATGCCCGGATGCAGGATGTAGCGGCACAATGTAGGCATTGATTACTTTGTGAGAGTGACTATCCCTTTACAGAAAACTCTTTAGGATGGAGATTCACACTTTCAAATTTGAGAATTTCAAATTGCTGTCCGCACTGCCACACCGATGCTTACTTCAGCCATGAGAGAAACTACACCGGGTTACTGCAGTGCAACGCTCGTTCAAAAGTGAAAGGACACTGGATTATAAAAAACAATGGATTTCTCATGATTACTATAGGCTACAGTGTTGGATGAAGTACTCAGATCCTTTACTTTAGTAAAACTACAAATATGGTCTTCAAATACTCCAAAACAAGTAAAAGTCATGATTTCAAATGTTACACAAGTAAAAGTAGAATAGTATTAGCATCTAAAAGTACTTACGTCCCTTTTCAGAATAATATCAAGTATTTTCTGCAACATTTTCTCCAAGTTTTGCAGAATGGATCTTTCACAGTAACATATTTTATGTTGCTTATTTTCAGTAGCAATTTAGTGTTGTGGTCAATGTGGACCAAATGCATACTTTAAATACTGTGTTTACTATTACAGTACTGCATTATACCATGTCAGTTTATGTATATGTGCAAAATAACTGCAAGTGTTAAAATATATGTAGTGGAGTCAAAAGTACACTATACCTCTGAAATGTTTCGGAGTAGAATTTTAAAATACTTTCCACCGTTGGAAAAGTAAAGCCGTTCTTGTAATGCCATCAGCTGTTAGTTTATAAAGGCCATTGTGCTATGATTGATAAAGTTCCTTTTGCATAGAAAATACGTGAAATTGTTTTAAAGTGGACTTATATATCTAACCAATCAGAGCAGACTGGGCTCTGGTTTCAGACAGAGGGTGAAAAGAGCTGCTGCAGCACAGGCAGTATGAGAAAAATAAAGAGCTTTTTGAACATTAAAGTATGGAGACATGTAGAGACACTACATACTGATATGACCCTGAATAAGCATGATAGGGCCCCTTTAAAATAATAATTTGACAGTGAATTAGGTTTGCATTGAATTGAAATCCTTTTTAAATGAAGAGCACGTTCTTTCGCATTTCAATATGTAGAAAATGTGGTTGTGAGCAGAACATTAACAATGTCTAATTTCGGTGCTGCTGCAGGTCACGACAAGAGGCCACAGAGATTGGCCGATGCTACAAATACATAAGTAATAAGATCACAAGGATTTATCATGTGTCAATTTAAAGTGGTCCTTTCATCCAAGTCTTCCTCAAGAGAAATATGTATTATCTGGTGGAAATGAAATCCTAATAAGATATATATAAAAAAAAGACTCTCAATCCATATCCCAAAGAGAGTGTATGCCAGTGTGTGTGCGTGTGTGTGTGTGTGTGTGTGTGTGTGTGTGTGTGTGTGTGTGTGTGTGTGTGTGTGTGTGTGTGTGTGTTGTGTGTGTGTGTGTGTGTGAGAGAGAGAGAGGTTTAATGCAGGTGTGTTGCAGCCAACTCCTCCTGCAGCAGTCAGTAATGTCATCAGACTCCCAGCTGAATTCACCACTGTTCTGCATGATCGCCCATGATAATTGTGTGTTGATAGAGAGTGCCGGAGATGGAGTATAATTTCCACAGAGAGATTCCTAAACAAATACCTGTGCTCAGCAGAGGGATGGAGTGCAGAGGAGGTGAGGAGGAGAATAGACGATGAGGGGAGATAGGGGATGAGAGGGTAACACTTCCAAAGGAGGAGGAGGAGGAGGAGGAGGAGGAGGAGGAGGAGGAGGAGGAGGAGGAGGAGGAGGAGGAGGAGGAGGAGGAGGAGGAGGAGGAGGAGGAGGAAGAGGAAGCGTCTCAATGCAGGTTCAGTCTGCTAATAATGAAACCACAGCAAGGCCGAAATGTCTTAACTTTTATAAATTAAAAAGGATTATTCAGCAATCCACCATTACCATAATAGTTGAGATGTGTGTGTATCAGAGCGGAGGATAACATATAATAAAGCATGACATAACAGAAATACAGTAATAGATTAAAACACAATCAATAATCTAAGTTTATAATTATCTGTCATAATAATCAAATAAAATGGAGATTTCAAACCAAATGTATATTAGTGCTTTATGTAAAAACTGATGATTTAAATGCTGAGACAATTCAGGCGTATTATCTAAATAATATCATTTGTGTCTGAAGTTTATCAGACCTCATTAACACCTCTGTTCTACTTTAGAGAAAAGTGTATGCTCACTGCTCAGTGTTTGTGAGCTGCAGGTCTCCACGTCTCTCTTGTCTAAGCTGCATCTTATACCAGGATTCGCTCTACAATTAGTTAAGATGTCACAAAATCATCCTCACACGTGTTAAAGGTGGGGTAGGTAAGAATGGAGAAACCAGCTCGAGTGCGCTAGAATTTGAAAGTACGAAGCCGAAAAAAATCTGCCCCTTCCTTCAGACTTCCTTACAGAGCCCCTCCTCCAACACACACGAACGCGCACATGACCAATGAGGGCACGAGATAAATTTGTGCACGAGATGGAAGGCTGACAGGCAGGTAGGCCATCCAGTTATTTTAGCCGGGTCGTGCTTTTTACAGCGCCACGGCTTCCACAGAGTAACTTTTTTAATGTATTTATTGTCAAAGGCAAGCATTTAATGTATTCATTGCTATCGGGATGTAAAGAGCATTCCATGGAATATAACAAAAAGTGTTTCTGAAGTGAATTACCTACTTTAAACAGATGCATATGAAAACTGCCTTCTAACTGCAAACACATCATTCTGAAGATGAAGGTAAAATATCCAAGAACAAGCAACACAATATTTTGAGTGATTGCCTTCAGAAGTGACCGAGTGCAATAAAGAAAACCATGTGAAGAAAACTAGTATTTTAATTTAAATCCTTTAGTCCAATCCGGGCACATCTTTAACAATCATGTATGTATTTTAATCACTATGCTTACACACAGTATTCCAGAAATAAAACCTAATTATAAAACCTTAAATATAGAATTACCCTTTTCTCAGCATTTACAATTGTTATTAAAACAGCTGATTGCCGTTTTTGAACAAACCATTGAAACATTGAGAACTTTTAGTTGTGACATGGCTATATGTTTTGGAGTCCTTTTCTTCACAACCTACAGTAATAAATGGACCTCTGATAGAGTTAGTGTGTATAGAATTAGTGTCTTTGCATTCATGCAGAATGTGTGTGTTATGAGCATAATGAAATGTAATATGTGTCTTATTGTGGGATGCAGGTGTGAGAGAAAAACATTAGTTTTTAAAGGCCATATTTCTTAATGCTCTTAATGTTGTTCATTTTTGTAAAGCACTTTGAAATGCCTTGTGTTGAAAGGTGCTTTATAAATAACCTTGCCTTGCCTTGTCCGACAGAAAAGTCAAAAACTAAGTAAAGATTTAGAACAAGTCACTTCCAAGGCAGCATAAATAACATTTCAAAGAAAGGCTTTTCTAGAGTTTCAAGGCAACCTTCACTTTTGAAGACCTGAGGAGGAGTGTGTGTGTCAATAATTTCCACAAAAGCTCACACACTTGCAGTACTGACTGGCCCTTTTGGAAGATGCTATACATTGTAGGCATACTGGAGTTTTGGCTATAAAAGACACATTAACAATATATGAAAACAGTAG